AAACTTTCATATTTACGTACATATCACTTTGTTGCTTTAAAGCTATGCATGAAAATGTTTTTTTGAAGTGTTAAATATGTAAATACATAGAAATTAATTGGTATCTATGTAAATCATCCATTGATATCTACATGATGGTTGGCTATGTCAGGGAGATCGCGGAGCGGCTGGCTTCCGTCTCCATGGACGCCGAGGGATTTCAATCCCTGAAGCAGCTTTGTTGTGGCTTAACAGCCATGGTCTCTTGAGCATTCAGTATTGTTTCTATTTGCTAAGATAGAATAATTAATTGGACATATGTGTGCCTTGCTTTGCTTGTTCAGCACTTGTTTTATAAGTTGTAAGTTGTTTCTGCCTGCACAATAAGTCGTGTTATGTAAAACTGAACTTTCTGTTTGAAAAATAAGTGGAATGTTATTATATGTTATTATGAATTGGTACATGTTTGGTGGAAATCCATTTTGATGCTTTGCGGCTGTGTCATTATGGTGCCTGATTGTGCTGTTTTTGTTGAATATTGTAATTGAATATTGGAAATTTACATGCATGCCACATTATTCTAAACTATTTACACAAAATAGAGGGCTGACCTTCTTACCTGCAGCTTAAGAGCAACTGCCTCCTATAAACATGGGAATTGTCCCCCTCTATTCCTTAATGGTTTCATTTATGAGCGAAAGAAGAGGTAGATTTCGGTTGCCTCTGCACGCCACACTCCTGTTGACATGCATCAAGTGTTGCAAAGCAGGTGGCTCACACAAGTATGTGGTGTGTCAATAGTGCTGGGGTTTGAGTTTGGTTGTAGATCTCTCGTTGAACGAGGAAAACTTAATTCATGAAAAAGTTATAGTCTATGATTGTTAGCTCTTAGGTTGATGGTTTGAACTTTTCGAAGTTTAATAAAAGTTTCTATCCTAATTTTTGAAAGTGAACAAAATTTAAGTTTTAAAACAATGTGAAGAAAGTATTCCTGATTAAGATGTGTCAAAAATCCCCTATTGAAGTGATTATGTAGGGATTCAAACTTGCAATTGATTCGAAAGTAGGTGTCAAACAAGAGAAATATCTTTTTTATCTCTTTCTGAAAGTTTAAGAAAAATTGACGATTCATTTGTTTATTTCCTTAAATCAAATGAAAAGCCCTATACAGGATTTCGGTTGCCTCTGCACGCCACGCTCGTGTTGACATGCATCAAGTGTTGCAAAGCAAGTGGCTCACACAAGTATGTGGTTTATCAGTAGTGCTGGGTTTGAGTTCGGTTGTAGATCTCTCGTGGAACGAGGAAAACTTAATTCATGAAAAAGTTACAGTCTATGATTGTTAGCTCTTAGGTTGATGGTTTGAACTTTTCGAAGTTTAATAAAAGTTCCTATCTTAATTTTTGAAAGTGAACAAATTTTATGTTTTAAAACAATGCGAAGAAAGTATTCCTGATTAAGATGTGTCAAAAATACCCTATTGAAGTGATTATGTAGGGATTCAAACTTGCAATTGATTCGAAAGTAGGTGTCGAACAAGAGAAATATCTTTTTTATCTCTTTCTGAAAGTTTAAGAAAAGTTGACGATTCATTTGTTTATTTCCTTAAATCAAATGAAAAGCCCTGTACAACCTCGCTCTTGAATCAATTCACATGAATTCAAAAGATATGTTCCTATTCCAATAACTTTGTGTGAATAACTTGGTTGTTTTTATAGTCTTTTATCATAGGTTCCTCTCAAAATGCTATAATTACGATTAATTTTAACAAATTAACTGGCCAAGTTAAACGTCAATGAGTCCCCAAGTTATTCCAACACCATTTATAAAATTCACTCAAGAATCACACCAAATTATCAAGCCCTTCTCCCCACACTTCCACAACAAAGGAGAACAGAAAATCTACTCACTATACATGCCAAATTTTATCAACAAAAATATTATATTAAAAGTAGAAATCATACACAAAGAGTCGCACAATTATGTCTTAAAGAAAACAAATGCAAACTTTGTTTACTTATCTCCTTAAATCTAGAAATTGTAGATGAATTACAAGCACACTCACAATCTCTCAAATCTTTCGAAGTTAGATAATCTCCATTCGATAGTCCTGGCATACAACTAGTAAAATGACTAGTTTGAATGTAAATTAAGTTTCGAAGGTTAAAAAACAACATCATCGTTCACAAATTTAAAAATCTAACATGAGATCCTTCAAGATTTAAAAGGGTTCCAATCCTAGGGGGGAGAGATTTTAAGTGCCATGCATAATTTGAAATAAACATGTGGCTTGCATTTAATAAATCAAACTAAAAGTGCAAGAGTAAGGAATGAAAAACCCGATAGAAAGCATTTCTTGTTCCCAAATCTTGATTGTCGATAGAGAATCTCTTGTTGCTTGATTACAATCACTCCATTCCTTCCATAGAGACTCTCACTCACGATCACTCCAATATAAATCTTACACTACACGCTTCTCCAATGTTTCCCTTATGCTCTGAGTATATGATAGTGCCTCACAAGAGAGCGTGTAGCTGAGCGTGTGTCGCCTGCATGAGAGTTCCTTTGAGAGATTTTGAACTTTTCTCAAGTCAACTTGTAAGGAAAAAAAATGGTGGGAGGCGTGACAATGCTAGTGTGGTGGCACCAGAGCGCTAGTACGGGGTACAACTACACTAGATGTGGCACTTAGGGCACTCAAAATGGCTCACCATTCACGATGAGTTCGTGCTCGGCTCGTAAAGTAGCTCGTGTTCGACTTGTTCATTAAACCTGACGAGCATAACGTGAGTCCATTTTTAAGGTCAAAATGTAAACGAGCCGAACAACAACAAATATTTTTTTGTTCGTGTTCATCTCGAAAAAAAATTATACAGAAACCAATGCTAATTTTTACTTGAAATAGTTAAATAAATAAATAATAATATTAACTCATCTTTTCTTATTTTAGTTTGTATATTTATTAAACAAATGCTAAAAAAATTATTTGGGTGGTATATTTTAAAAATACAAATTTAAGTGTTAAATATGCCTAATCACATCGAAATCGGGATTTTAAAAAAAAATCTACATCAATTAATATTAAATAAATAAAAAATATACACAAAAATGAATTAAATAGCAATAAATTAATTTTATAATATTTTTTAACATTAAAATATCTTTATAACATGTTTTTTTACAAAATAATAACATCTTTTACGATGGAGTAAAGTAGTGCGTGAGCCCGGTATATATCGAGGCGGCGGTTGCAGTTCAAATTCTACTTTGAAAAATTAAAATAACTATATTACTTAATAGACATTTTATTTGTGCATAATATTTGAATATTTATAAGGTGTTGTTACATGACATGTTTTTCAGAACATAGATATTTGGACTATCGGTGTTTCACTTATAAGTTGGAAGCATGTTGAGCGTCATCTTCCAAATCGTGTTATGCGATGATTTGATAGCATTCAGTCTATAGATGTGGAGCACGTTGAACGAGTTTTTAAGAGAGTCGACGGGCGAGATAACTAAATGTTGACTTGATACAATATTCCCACAACTATATCGAGATATGAAATAAGTCAGACATATCTAGTACAATTCAATTAATTGCAAGAAGATGAAAGACAAAAAAATTACTAATTATTTGCAGTGGTATTGATATTGGGCATCACTTGACTAGGAGAAACCTCCTACTCAGCCACCAGATACCTATTATCCCCGATCACCATGAGAGAGAATAGTCATATGTGTTAACTACATTTTATGGCTATTAATTTCCTCTGTTATAATGCATAATAATTAATTGAACTGTTAAATTATACAGATGAATTATTTCATTTATATTAAAAACATAGACCAGTACAGCTGCAGTTTCGATATACATCGAGCTCAAACATTATTTCACATAGTCATAGAAGATAATGTTATTTTGTAAGCATCATATCATGATGATATTTTAATATTAAAAATATTATAAATTTAATTTATTATTAGTTAATTCAATTTTGATGTATACTTTTTTTTGATTAATTCAATATTATTTAAATATTAATTAATGTAATATAAATTTATAATTTATTTTTAATAATAGGTAATATATATTAATATTTAAATGAAATTGAATATTATATATTATATTTTAATAAATTAATTTTTATAATAATTGAATGAAAATGCCCCCAAGGGGTCATAATTAACTTTTTTTTCTAGCCATGGTTTAAAACCACCTTTGAACCCACATCGAGATTTTTGAATTGATAAATTTTGTCTTTATAAAAGGAAGACTTAACATGGGCTTTTGCAACCATGAGATTTCAATATGGAATTTCTTTATGTTTTTACAAAATTAATTAATTAAGTAGTTAAATAAAAATAATTTAAATTATTCAATTCATAATTTTTTGAAGTTTTGTAGTTGCTTGTAAGGAGGCACGAGCGACATGAACATAAAATATAATGAATTTGTTTATAGGCGTAATTTAAACAAGCTGATTTAACTATTTACGAGAAATATCAAACATAAGCCAATTTCAAACGAATAGAACATGACTCAAGCCTTAGTTTGCTCATGCTCAGCTCGTTTGCACCCATAGTGAGCACTATCGCTTGGCGTTGAGCTGTCATCCTCTTTTATATTTTTAGCTATGTGCATTGGGGTTCGGACCTATCGATTTAGCCCATTTTGTTCTTCAAGTGCTCCAAATCCTCAATATTTTCTGTATACCGCAAATAATACTACATATATTTCCAAAAAAAATATAAAAATAAAACATAAAATGAATGAAAATAACATAAACATATCAATAAATTCCATAGACATCACTCTTTTATCAAAATTTGAGTTATTTGGCACCACCAACTTTGAATACACAAATTTAATTGTTTTAAAAACTAAATAAATAATAGTTTTATAAATATACAAATTTAAAATGTTTACTTTGTAAAGGTAAACTCACCTGCGGTGATCATAAGGTAACGCGGTTAATATAGCATCACCTAACTAAAGTAGATAACCAGGGGGAGTGCCTTCGAGAAGTTTAGCTGAGGCTGAACAACAACTTGAACGGCCCCAATCCTCCATCTTCCTCTTCATTCCTTCCTTTCTTGGTTCTTGCTCTTCTCTCTTTGCTCTCTCGATCTTGCTCCGTCGGCCCAAGCTGAGAAGTCGTCAATTCGGTCGCAGTTAGCCCGATTATCAGCTTCTTTCCAGGAGGTAATCGATTCGAAGATATATATTTTTTTGTTTAATTTTTGCTGGGGGTTTCGACATCGATGGTTAGAGGGCTGTATTTGGGGCTAAGGGATTGCGGATTTTTTATTTTTTATTCATTGTTTTAAATCGTTACTTGTAGTTGATAATGGGGGGTTACTTGGGGATTCTTAGATTTTTTCTTTATTTTTTATATATGAAAATGATGGATTGTTAACTTTGTTCGGAAGAAAAAATAGTTGTTTTTCTTTTAATATAGTGGTTGTATTATTGATGATTGATTGACTACGCATGAAAAGGAGCTTCCTTTATGAATTTGACTGGATATATGAAGTGAATAGCTCTATGGTGAAGTCAGCTGATTCATATCTTATCGGTTCTATTTTATGCCTGTTTGAGAACTTTGTGACTTTTTCTTGATACCATTCTAGGGCACGTACAAGGTATTCAGGCATTTAGTTTTATGATGAGGGAGTTGCGGAATGATAAGGGAAGAGAATACAGGAGTTTGACGGAGTTTGGATGGGGATGAATATCGCTCGTCGGCTGTCCCGGCTGAAAAGAACAAAGTTAGTATTGAAACGACGAGGTACAAATGTCGAGGAGTTTTGACATTTGTTCGTCCATAAGCTACAAACACGTCACTTGCAAAAGAAAAATGATGCAACACTAGAAATTAGAGATATAATCTCTAAAACACACGAAATGAGTCAAAAGCCTCTTAAATAAGAAAATAATATATAAATAGTTCTTCAAGCAAAACAAAGTCCTTATTCTAATCCAGGAATATAAGAAATTTAGGCCCCACAAGGACTGATGGTAACTATAGGTAATAAATCTTGTTTTTGGTGTGGAATTGGAGAGATTCTCATCCGTCACGTTTGCAAGATTGCTTGAATTCGTGAAATTCTGCAGTTCCTGTTTAGGTGGGATCGTGAGATCACAGGATCCCGCGCGGTGGAATCTTGAACTTGCTTCCATTGCTCGCATCCACCCTCCATATCGAGTTCCCATTCGCAGCCCACATCATTCTTCTCAGGTAGGAGAAGCTTCATCTTCTTCACTAGAAGCTTCAGGAAGCGATTTATCACCATCATAATAAAGTCAAAGGCAATCCCACTACAAAATATATTCTCATGTCTATTCTATGAAAATTTAAAACACATACCATTCCAAAGCACGTTGTGTTAGAATAAATAACCATCGTTCTTTGACACAATCAAACCTGGAACTAAATATATATGGGTAGTCCCACGAACCAAGTGTCGAGCTATTAAATTTTTAACCTGCTTCTTCAACTTCTCATATTCAGCTTGGTGTATCCAATAAATAAATATGTTTGGAGACATTAACCTTGGAATGACATTCTTGTCATGTTTGACCACTTAGTGGCAGCCACTCCGGAGTTAAAGTGTTAGTTAAGACATCTGAAAACTCTCTCAGTAGGGTTGCTCCTTTTTTAAAATCGGCTCTTTGGATGCAGTATTTTCTAGACAACCAATGTTAGTCCTCCCAAAATCTCTCTAATAGGCTTAACTTGAATCAATAGCATGTCTTGTTCGTCGGCTGGAACTTGAGGCCTATCTCTGATGTCATCATTCTCTCCTATGTCACTGTCAATTTCTTCAATTGCTCCTTGCTCAGCAAGAGATATCATTCTCATGTTTGGGCAATTTAATTCAATATGCCAAAAATCGTGACACTTGAGCATCTCTAGGTTGGGACAGATCTGAGAGTGTTGATCCTAGTAGGCTCTACATTTTTTCTACTATAAATTGGTTTTTCCCCTATTGGGGTTAGTTTAGATGCTCCACTAAGTGTACTTTTGTTGCTTGATCCTAGGGCTAAATTCTGTTTGTAAGGTGTGGAGGTCACTTGGTGACGCTGCTGTTTTTCCACCTTCAAAGTTAGAGTCTGTATATCGAGTATAGACTAATATGACTGCAACTGCACCACATTCCTAATAGACGATCTCAGTCCTCTTAAATATCTTGCCACTGTGCTTTTCTCTGGTTCCACAACAAATATTTCAAGATGAGTGATCAAAATCAGATGTGTACTCTTCCATAAAAGTGTCTCTCTGGGACAAGTTGTGGAGCTTTATAAACATGTCATGACATAATGTGGGGGAATGTATTTGCATTGTATCTTTTTTTTCATCTTGGACTATATAGTAATTTTACTTTTCCCGTTACGCTTGTGTAAGCGCTTCAAGTTAAGTTTTCCCATTACTGAAATACACTCTTTTTTAATTTGATGACGGCTAGTTTTACTCTTGTGTCAGTTGGGACGTCCTTATAATCAAAGATTTGTTCCACCGTATGGAGCTATTCAATAAACTCATCCAAGTTCATGTGATCATCAAAATCTTGTGGGTCCACCTTAATTCCGAAATCACTTTCTCTTCTCCTATACTCAATGCCGACTCTTCATCACTTGAAGCTTCTTGGCATACCATGCTGGTTTTTTTTTTTTTTAAATCAGCTAGCATTGTAATTAGATGATTTCCCGCTGGATGCTTTGCATGGTAATCTGAGCATTTCGTTGAAGATTTCTCCTTGGCGGCATGGCGTCTTGTTATTCCAACTGAACTTTAGGCTAGCTCTGATACCGGATGATATTATTCTAGGGTTCGAGAAGGTATTTATGCATTAAGTTTTGCGGTGAGGAAGTTATGGAATGGCAAGGGGAAGAGCATACGTGAGTTTGGAAGAGGAGAAATATCGCTCGGTGGTTGTCTAGGTTGAAAACAACAAAAATTGCATCGAAACAACGGATTACTGATTTCGAAGAGGTTCACCGTTCGTTTCAACACAAGCTACAGACACTTTGCTTGCAAAAGGGAAATGATACAACACTCAAGTATGGTATAAATCAAAGATATAATTTCTAAAACAAACAAACAGAATCAAGTGGCCTAAACCAGAAAATAACAATTTAAAAATACTTCTTTAACTAAAACAAAAAAAAGAAAAAAGAAAAAAAAAGAAAAACCTAATTAAAATTCAGGAATAAAAGAAATTTAGGCTCCACAAGGATTGACAACAACAATAGGATAGATTCTCGTTCGTCACATTGGCAGGATCATGTGAATCTGGGAGATCCTGCGGTTCCTGTTTAGACGGGATCGCGAAATCACAAGTCCTATGCTGGGGAATCCTGCGCTCACGCCCACCCTCTGTCCTGCGTTCCCATCGCATTCCAAATCATTTCTTGTGCGGAGTGATTTTAGCTTAACTTCATCTAAGGTTTGATAAAGGGAATTTGTGTGTGTGCTGTTGGGGCATTTTGGCTTGTTATTTTGGTAATCAATGATGTTACAGATGGCATCCTGCTGTATAAGTTCGAACAAAATAAAGAAGGAAGATTTTCGTACTTACCACTCAATTCTCATGTATTTGCATATCTAGCTCCTAAACCTCAACTTTTATGTATACAACACCTTATATGCATGAAAAGGTGTATTTCACTTTCGAAAAGTTAAAATAGTAGTGTTTTTGGTGTGTTATGAAAGAGTTGGGTGATAATGTAAAAAAGTGATGTTTAGGTGTTAGATATGTAGAATTGGATGCTATGTATGTAAATGCCCATAAAAAAGCAATTTTTTTGTGGTGATTTTAGTTTATAGACATGCATCAATCCGACCATTCATATTCAGTTGAAATTTTTTTTTCCATTCATTTTTATTTAGAACCTCAGTGATGTAATTTTTGTTTATAGAAGTGTTTTTAACGATCTCTCCAAGCTTTAGCCATTTCCCATATGTATTTCTTCGATAGTTATTTACTCATTAATTCCAACGCCTGGACTGATTGATGTTTCATGCTATCTTGTTCTCAATACATGTTATCCCCCCATTCTTCAACACTATTCTTCATATTGTTATACTTTGTTATGCATGTTATATAGTATTATTATCTGAATAAATACTGTTTAGAAATAATGTATTATAAGATTTGAAAATTAGTTTTCAGGGATGTCCCCCTCCCCCCTCCACTCCCTGAAATTTAGTTATTTTTTGCCGTGTAAAACAGGCAATGCAGAGCCAACTTATATGCAGTGGATGTCGGACCCCTCTTCTTTACCCAAGAGGGGCGGCTAGTGTGTGTTGTGCAATCTGCAACATGGTGACAGCAGTACCTTCTTCAGGTATGGTTCTATTGTTTGTATATATATTTGCCATACATTTTAATGTTGGAAGATTTACGTGCATACCGCTTAATTCCTATGTATTTATATATCCAACACGTTAAATTTTAATTTTTACATACATGCAACCTTATCTATGCATGAAAGGGTGTATTTCACTTTTAATGGTGGTATTTTTGCACTGATATGAAAGGTTTAGATGGTATAAATGTAAAAAAAAATAGAATTTAGGTGTTAGATATGTAAATACATAGGAATTGGGGGTTTTATAGGTAAATGCCCCTTTAATGTTTGCATATATTTCATGGATGCAGGAAAAAAAAAATTTTTTTCTGCTAATTTTAATGCAATTTCTGTGATATGTAACATGCATTTGATTGCTACTCTGATGTGCAAATATTGTAGCAAAGCTCCATAGGCTACATATTTATGTATGAATGGATGTAATGATAAGGTTTCCACAAAAGCAGTGTTCTGTATCATTTGCTGAGTTGCTGATCAGAATGCAAACATTTAGCAAAAACTCATCTCACACTCTAATAAACTCTTAATATTTATTCATATCGTCATTGTAGTTCATATATGTATGTATCTATGTATGCATGTGCATGGATACATACATGTATGCGTGTGTGTGTGTATACATACATATATACATACATATATACATACATATATACATACATATAGGACACACGCGCGCGCGCACACACATCTATACATATAAATATGCATATACATATTTATTAATTACTGAAGAGCTGTTGGATAGAGAGAAAACTAATTGGATGACTTGGGTGAGAGAAGGGAGAAAGAAGGTGAGGCTACTATGAAGAGGGGAAGTTCCTTTATCAATTTTAGGGTGGAACTGCTTATACTTAGACTTAGATGGATTGAATTGTGAATGGATGAATAAAATAGCTAATGCAAATTAGGGTATATATGAGAAAACAAATCTTTTTCCTACACTATTAATGAAAACATGATAAATTTCTAAAGCCATTTTTTGATTGGGGAAATATCTTTTAAAGAGCATAAGCTAGCCCTCTTATATTGTTTTTAAACATGGAAAATTTTTCATGTTTTCTTTAATCGTTTAGGAATTGGATTTGTTTTCCTATAAATTGTTGTAAGTTTCTAATACAAATATTCTAAAAGGCATAACTTATAATCATCTCAAACCAATATCTATTTCTAGTGATGCTCCCCCTGTTAGGATTGTTCAATAATCAAATGCGATGAATTTAAGTTAGCATCAATTGGTAAGCTTGCAAAGAAAGCTTAATGGATTACTTCTACGTGAACATTGGATGGGGTCTGCAAAGTGCTCAACAATAAAGCCAGAAATTTCAAAAGATAAGCTATATAAAGCAATTAATATGATACCTATACAAGCCTAAGCATCCGTATGTAGAAAATCTTGCTTCCATGAGAGATTATCTTTTTAATTTTAGTAGGTACACATACTATGCTATAGTGCTCGATTAACAATAAGCTTAATGATATTCAATGCATAAAAGGCTGTGTAATCAATAAATATTTTTTAGTGGATGCATATTCCTGAACATTCACATTATATTTTTTTTCATTTTGTAGGAATATTTAGGAGTGTCCATCAACAAACATGTATAATAATGTGTTGGTCTATAACAAAAATATTGAAGCAATAGGAACATCTTTCACACCAATATTTTAAGGGGGCCATTTAGTTTGCTGAAAAAGGAATGCAAAGTGATTTGCATTGCTTCATTAACTTCTCAATAAATGTTTTCGCTTATAAATAGGATACCATAGACATTTGTATTTTTCAACTTTGCATAATAATGCATATGAGAAACATCATAAACATTGTGTAATAGTTCATACACACCTCAAATATACAAGGTTAATATTCTATTATGCCGTTACGTAGCTTAAGGACAATTTTGTTTTTCATTAGCCTAAGGGAAATTTTGTATTTCATAGCCTAAGGGCAATTTAGTCTTTTATTATTTATTATTGGTTAATATAAATAAGGTTAATATGCTTAGGGTTAGGTAATATTGGAGGAAACCCAAACCATAACAGAGGAACTTTTATTAATAGGGAAATAGGGTTACAACACACACAAACGGAAAATAACATCACTAACACATAAAACGACACAACAAACACCTTGAGGATGCATCCCAAGGGTTGTGGAGGTTGCTAGGTGGGTCGGGTTGACTAGTGGGGGTGGTAGCAGCAAAGGTGAGGTGAGAAAATGATAGGAACAGCTAAAGGGCTGGCTGTCCTGTGCAGCTACAACAAGAAATTGGGGCAAAATCAACAGGAACAACAAAGGTTAGTTGTTCCAAGGCTGCAACAACAAGGATGGGTGGGTCAGTAGCGGTGTAGCAAGATGCGGGAGAGTTTGGTGTGGTGGGAAGGTGCTGGAGAGCAAGTTAGACTGTTGGAAACAAGATTAAGGAAGATGCAATCACCACCGGGTAGAGGGATACAGCCGAAACACGACTCTAACCATTAGACACAACCCTTGAGGGGGAGGAAGCTCCATACAGGAAATCTGAAATCGAACACATCAAAAAACTCCCTCTAAACTCAGAAAACAAACATATAAATAGACCTAGCTGGGGCAACAAAAAAGGAAAGATGACGAGAAAGTAAGGAGGACAAAGGTCATGTGGTAATGCCACTTCTCCCCCAAATCTGCTCGCTCCGGGCAGGAGATACGAAAGGAAAGTCCGCCCGGGTCGTATGGAGCCGCTCGATACTTTGGAAGGTCCTCTGGACTGGTTCCCCATGCCAGCCGATTCAGCCGGCTGGCCCGTTTCCCGCCTTTTTGCGGAAAATTTTGCTCCTACATCCGTAACGGGAAGGGGGAAAGCCCCCGCATCAGTCTCCCGAGGTTAGGGGAGCTTCGAATTCATTGGTCTAGTCCCTTGGTAGGTCGATCATGTTGGTGTTATCATTCCACAACACATTCTGGTAGAATATGTATCCGTCCTCTTTTGACATATCCTGAGCTGGAACTATAGGAAGATGAGAATTCTCATGGGTCAGGTATCGAGCCATTTCAGGGGTAACCTGCTTCTTCCACTCCTTGTAATCGACTCAATGCAGCCGAGGACTGGCATGGGAGGAGAGATCAACTTTGGGGTGAAATTAGTGGCAGGCTACACCCCTCTCATGCACGGCTGCGATACATTTTTTCGGAGCCATTCTAAACAATTGAAATATATGCGAAATCAAAATCGATTAAATAACTAACTCACAAGAAAAACCTATCCCCTAAATAGTCCTAAAAAGACAAGAATTATGAAATGCAAAGTCATGGAATGTTAAATAGAAAACATATACCACTTTGTCACACCTCGGTCCGGAAGGCAGTACACCCCGACAATGAAGGTCGTGATGAAATGATTTGAACATGCTTTATATTTTCAAAAGGAAGATTGTATGCAAATAATATCTGGGATAAACAAAAAATTATAAATTTTATTCCACAATTAGTAATCTGCTGATACAACTTAAAAAAAATAAAAAAAATGATTGAATCAAACATAAATAAAAAAATAAACGATTGCTCCGACCCAAAAAGAAAAGTATAATATCTAAAATAAATACTGAAAAAATATCAAAATAGGAAATCTAAAACTGTCAAGACTGCTCCGTGGAGACGTTCTTGTTAGTGGAAACGATAAGAGAAATGGGGCATGCAGTATGAACAACAAATATAAATAACTGCTAGCATATTGCAGTATTTGTTGGGTGTGATTCATGGACCAAAAGGTAAACTTTTATAATTAAATTTGATTTTCTTAAAGAAATTATGGTTTATGAATTTTCTATAAAGGATAAATTACATGCATAGAAAGAATTTTAGTTAAAATATGACTCCATATCTTATTTGTTCATAAAACTAAAATATAAATTGGCCTCAAAATTTACACTAGAACATACATGAAAGCCTACATTTGAAACTATTCATGCACATAATTCTAAAATTGAAAAAAAATTACAACTTGAATTTGAAATTGTTTATGAGATCATTTCTTAACCTAAACCTGAATTAGAATCTAATTTATCTTTGACTTTAAAATATCACAAGTCACATATGCTAAAGTTGTTTGAGCTAATACTGTAATATGATAGTGCAATTCCTGATGAATTTATGGGTTCTTGAAACAGATTATCCATGGATTTGATGAATTGGAGTAGTACTTTCAATGGTTTAGATTCATTAAGCATGCCCGATCATTATTTAAAGGTATTGATTATGGCTGACTTTGACTTAAAGGTATAACATGACCGATCATGGCTTTAAGTTACTATTGTGATTGACAATGGATCAAAGGTATATCATGGATTTTTGTGGTTCATAGGTGATGTGGCTAATTTTGGATCAAAGGCATGTTATGGCTGATTTAGATATATAAGCATGAGCTTTGGTTCATCTTGAAATGGTCTGCTCTAGGGCACATTGGATTTGGACTACATCTCACATCCATTGTAGCTCAAAGCCTATTTCTTATGAGCAGATTGAATTTGATATTACCTTTAGGTTGAGAATATGTATGCTTTAGGGTGCGCAAGTGTTTGAGCACTCATTTTGATGTGATGGTTTGTTCCTTTATGGTATACCAATGCCTTGGCATGTTTTTATTTTTATTTTTATTTATTTGCACGATTTATTTTTCCTCTTTAAGCACATCAATGATTTGGCATCATTATGGTTGCAAATGAACCGAGCGTTTGATGAGCTACTCGTAGCTCGGTTCAATAAGAGTTTGTTCACATTTATTTGATTAAGAAATTAATAAGTATGAACACTTTTATAAATGCTCGATTTTTAAATAAACAAGCTTGAACAACACCTTGTTCAATTTATTTTTGTTCGCAAATAATATCATTTAAAGCTCATCTCGAAGCTCTTTAAGAAGCTCGATGAATTGCTTCGTTTATAGTTCATGAATAAGCCGACGAATAAATTTGATTAAAGCTTGATTTAAGCTTTTGAA